CACAGCTGCACAGCTAAACAGCTGCACAGCTGCACAGCTACACAGCAGCACAGCAGCACAGCTACACAGCTGCACAGCTGCACAGCTGCACAGCTAAACAGCTGCACAGCTAAACAGCTGCACAGCAACACAGCTACATAGCTGCACAGCTAAACAGCTAAACAGCTGCACAGCTACACAGCTGCACAGCTACACAGCTGCACAGCTACATAGCTAAACAGCTGCACAGCTACACAGCTGCACAGCTACACAGCTGCACAGCTAAACAGCTGCACAGCTAAACAGCTGCACAGCTACACAGCTGCACAGCTAAACAGCTGCACAGCTAAACAGCTGCACAGCTACACAGCTGCACAGCTAAACAGCTGCACAGCTAAACAGCTGCACAGCTACACAGCAGCACAGCTACACAGCAGCACAGCAGCACAGCTGCACAGCAGCACAGCTACACAGCTACACAGCAGCACAGCTACACAGCAGCACAGCTACACAGCAGCACAGCAGCACAGCTACACAGCTGCACAGCTGCACAGCTGCACAGCTAAACAGCTGCACAGCTAAACAGCTGCACAGCAACACAGCTACACAGCTGCACAGCTAAACAGCTAAACAGCTGCACAGCTACACAGCTGCACAGCTACACAGCTGCACAGCTAAACAGCTGCACAGCTAAACAGCTGCACAGCTACACAGCTGCACAGCTAAACAGCTGCACAGCTAAACAGCTNAATGAATATTTCTATAATCATCTACAAGTCTTTTTTTTGTAAGATTTATTTATTTCCAGCTGGTAAATCTTAAAGGGCCTGTGACATCAGTTTTTTGTAAGAAACATGAATGTATTTTTGGAGAGATAACATTGATAACATGTTGCAAAACAAATTTCATGTCGCTGAGATGAACAGTTGTTGAGATATTTACATGTGAAGAAACAGGAAGTGATGTCAGAGGGGAATGTCTGCATGTAAACAGTGTTGTTACAACACAGACTGTAGAGAAGAATCTGATGTTTCTTTACATTATTTTGAGTCTCTAGCAATGAGAAACAAAGAAGAGTTAGAGTTTAAATAATATTGTTTTAATAAACAAAGACCAGAGTTTATTTTATTAAAGACTTCCCCTTTGATGTCACTTCCTGTTTCACTTTAACTGAGCCAAATTCAAAAGAAAATATGCCAGTTAAGGGGCAAAATGGGTAAAATCATGTGTATTATGCAAATTTTCTTAAGTATGAAGATGTTTTCTTTTACTTTTTGTATTTGAAGTATAGACATGTCACAGGAACTTTAATATCCAAATATTGTTTGAGGTTTCCTCTTTAAAATGACATAAAAACATCCTCATTAGAATAAACCTAAAACTAAGATTCAGACCAACAATCAGTGAGTTCTCTTGATTTAAGAAAACAAATCAAATATCTGAAAAGCTGCTCAGGTCATTTTGACCAAACTGGACTCAATCCTCAGTTTATGTGATGGTCACAAATATACTGCAGTGTTATTAAATGATGTCATACCTGGTCCCGCCTCTGAGGCGGAGCCACAAACCTGCTGAAACAGGAAAAGGAGACACGGCCGAGGCTGAATGGATGAGAAGTTAGTTTTCCATGAACTGTTGTGATTTTCTCCCTCCACAGGTTGATTTATAAGTGTGTCATGTGCGACACAGTGTTTACACACAAGCCACTGCTCTACTCCCACTTTGACACTCATCTGACCAATCAGAAGGTTCACGTCTTCAAATGCCCAGAGTGCACCAAGCTGTTCTCTCAGAGGAGCTCCCTGCTGGATCATTTCAGGGTACGTCTGTGCTGAAAGCTTCAACAGGTGTTAGATTTAAAAATGAAATAATTCACTGTGCTCTTCAGACTCACAAGACTCCCACATTGAAAGAAGAGCAGCCTCCTCCTGCAGCAGCTTCCTCACGTCTTCCTGTGAAGTTAGAGAGCTCTGAAGAGGATTGGACGGACAAAGAGAAAGTGAAGACAGAGAGGATGAAGACCCCTTCAGGGTGGAAGTGTCGATCCTGCAACACACCGTTTACAGAACGGGAAGACTACATCGCTCATATGAGCCAGCAGCACGGCAAGGTCTGCTCACCGTTTACGGTGCACAGCTAATAAAAGAACTATAAATAAACATAAGGTTTGTTTGTTTTCATGGTGTAGATGTTGAAGAAGTTCCCCTGTTTTAAATGTGAGAGCTCCTTCACAACCACCTCCAGCATGAGGCGCCACATCAGAGACAAACACAAAGTCCTGAGCCGAGGCTTCCGCTGCCAGTGAGTAAACACTGCTGCTTATTTCTTTAGTCCAGTTAGTTTTTATTTATTTATTTAGTCATGTTAGTTTTTATTTATTTATTTATTTATTTAGTCCGCTTAGTTTTTATTTATTTATTTATTTATTTAGTCCGCTTAGTTTTTATTTATTTA